GCAGAGGGACTGCAACAGCCCACTATACTGCCATTTTGGTTTTTGAGATATTTGCAGACAAGTGCTTGGGTGACTCTCAAACCTCAAGGGACCATGTCATAGTCAAGGTCACATGATATTGCTTTCTAAACCTGGTGAGGTCCTTTGCATTGGTCTACTCTGATCCTTAGTATGGTTCACTTGCTGAGACCATTAGTGTTAAAGACCAAGTTGTGAATTGAGTCATATAAACCAAGTCTTTCTGCTGTGGACCCTCAAATCCATATGTTAGATCCTGTGCTGGGTATAGTGGCATGTATCTCTAACCCAGATCAGGAAGTAGAGGCAGAAGGACTGAGAGTTTGAGGCCAGCTCAGACAACACTGAGGAGAAAAGAGAGCTAGCAAGAATAAATTCTAGCCAGGCGGTGGTGGCACACGCCTTTAATCCCAGCACTTGGGAGGCAGAGGCAGGCGGATTTCTGAGTTCCAGGACAGCCAGGGCTACACAGAGAAACCCTGTCTCGAAAAAACAAAACAAAAAAACAAAAACAAAAACAAAAAGAATAACTTCTAACTTCCAAGGTGGTGGCATTAGGAGGCAGACTGTAGAATGACAACTAGGCAGACTAAAAGGCTGAAGCCCGCCGGGCAGTGGTGGTGCACACCTTTAATCCCAGCACTTGGGAGGCAGAGGCAGGCGGATTTCTGAGTTCGAGGCCAGCCTGGTCTACAGAGTGAGTTCCAGGACAGCCAGGACTACACAGAGAAACCCTGTCTCAAAAAACCAAAAAACAAAACAAAACAAAACAAAACAAACAAACAAAAAAAAAAGGCTGAAGCCCTCACAATGGTAGGGTCTCCTTACGAAGCAAGCCTGAGGCTGGATGTGGTGGTGCAGGCTTGTAATACCAGCACTGGGGAGCCCAACAGTCGTAGTATACGCCTTTATCCCAACACTCTGGAGGCAGAAGCAGGTGGATCTCTGAGTTTGAGGCTAGCCTCAAACTCACAGAATGAGTTCCAAGACAGCCAGGGCTACACATAGAAACCCTGACCTCAAAAAAGGCCAATAATAACAGCAGCAGCAGCAGCAGCAGCACTTAGGAGGCATGGTTAGGAAGATGGCCATAGCTTGAGGCAAACCTGTTGTACTTAGCTACATAGTAAATTCCAGGCCACTTTAGGGCTTTATTCTAATACATAACAAGCCCTGGTCTCAAAAATAAATAGGTTCCAGAGAGCTACCCTATCCCTCTATCCCTTCCTACAAGCTGAGCACAGAACTATAATTGCTGTCTTTGTGGAAGTCATATTCTTTTTTTTGGGGGGGTGGTATGTGTCGGATTGTGTCTTTTATTTTCTTTTTCAGATTTATATTACTTTTAATGATATGTATATGCACAGGATTGTGGGTGCCCAGGGAGGCCAGATCTCCTGTTGCTGGAGTTACAGGTGGCCACCTAACATGGGAGCTGAAACTGAACTCTGGTTCTTTGGAAGAGCAGCAGTTGGTCTTAACCACTGAGTCATTGCTCCAGGCTGCTTTCCTATTGTTTATAAGTTACACAGTCTGTGTTGAGGGATCTTCATGCTCAACTTGACTGGGTTGAGCATTATCTAGGGGATTAGTAAAGTACCGCCTCTGGGTGTGTCTGTGAGGACTTTATTCGAGACCATTAGACCATGAAGGCTCTGACTTAATGAATGAATAGCTTCAATGACTCCCAATATGATGGAATTACTGGAAAGTTGTCACAAGTAGGAGCTAGCTGAAAGAAACACACAAACACTTCACGGGGCTGTACCTTGGTACAAGTAGCCCCCTTTCTGTTTCCTGGTTATCATTAAGTGATTTGCTCAGCTCCACCGTAACCTTTCTGTCGCAATAAAACGACATCTCAGAAACTCGGAGCTGTCTCTCCAGCCCTGTTCCATCCCTTTTAAGTTGTTCTCTCTGAACAGCTGTGAGAAGGGTGGCACAGGCACAGTCTGAGGCATTTTGTTATGTTTGTAGGTGAAGGTCACTCTCTGAGCTGCCCATTAATAAAATTAGAGTTTAGTCGTCTTTAATCCCAGTACTCCGAAAGCAAAGGTAGGCAGATCTCTGAGTCTGAAGCCAACTTTGTCTATGTAGTGAGACCCAGGACAGCCAAGGCTATGTAGAAAGACCCCACATCAAAAATAGATAGATAGATAGATAGATAGATAGATAGATAGATAGATACATACATACATACATACATACATACATACATAGATACATAGATAGATAGATTAACTGATTGGTTGATAGATAAAATTGGGGCTTTAAATATGTTCATATTGTCAGCAGGGGCAGAAACAGATTTCTATGTGGCCCGACCTATAGCTTGGAAGAAGAAAGAGGGGTGTACATCTCAGTTGGTAGCATAATTGCCCGGCATGTCTGAAACCCTAGTACCACATAAACCAGATATGGAAGCATAGAACCTTTAATCCTAGCACTCAGAAGGTGGAGGCAGTGTAACAGGGCGAAGGTTTCTTCACCTTGCCTCAGCTGAAGCCATCTTTGGTTTCTGCCTCCTGCCCTGCAAAGTCCCTTGGGAAAGCACCCAACCCTGTTCTAGAAACCCATGGTGGAAATGTCCCAGATAACTTCTTGTTCTTGGTTCTTGTTAAACTGTTTGCTTGCTCCCCGCTGCTACTGCCAACAAGGATGTAGTTTTTTCTGTGTTCCTTGTCTTTGAGGGCTCCCTGTAGTATGCATTCCGGGCTGTTCTGTGAGAAGAGTCTCACCAGGCAGTCACCAGCCAGCTTAACACAGACTCTCAACTTAAACTTTGGTCACGTTGAGTGGTCTTTGGGTCTCTACTTCACAGCAACAGGAGGATCATAAGTTCTAGGCTATGCTGTGGAGACAGCTTAGTGATAAAAAGTGTTTGCCTGTGCTGAGGACCTGAGTTCAAATCTCCAGCACCCACATAAAAGCTATAGTGAAATAAGAGGTGGAGTCAGGAGAGTCCCCAAACCTCACAGATTAGCCAGTCTGGTGTGCTCAGTGGAAAAACCAAGACTCTGTTTTAAAGAAGATGGAGAGATGGCTTCCAGAGGACCTGGGTTCAATTCCTAGTACCTACATGTTAGTTCACAACACATGTACAGGCCTACACTAACAAGTACATACAACACACACACACACACACCAGAGCTGAAGAGACAGCTGAATGTTCATGGAGTAAAAGCACTTGACACAAAAGGCTTGTGATCTGAGTTTGATCCCTGGAACCTACAAAGTTGACCTATGACCTCCACCTGTGAGTTCCCACACATACATCATACATACAGTAATAAGTTATTTAAAAAATGTGGAAAGAGAGGACACCCAAGGTTGTGCTTTGATCTCTACTGCATGCTTTGACATACACACATCCCTCGTCACACACATGAATTGTGGTCTGAGTGAGAATGGGCCCAGAAGCTCATGTATTTAAATACTTGAAGGAGCTATTTGGTAAAGATAAGGTGTAGCCTTGTTGGAGGAGGGTTGGGTTTTGAGGTTCTAGAAACCCTAGTCATTTATTTCCCAGTTAGCTCTCTCTTTCTCAGGATTTTTTTTTTTTAAGATTTATTTATTTATTTATGAGTACACTGTAGCTGTCTTCAGACACACCAGAAGAGGGCATCCAATCTCATTACGGATGGTTGTGAGCCACCATGTGGTTGCTGGGATTTGAACTCAGGACCTCTGGAAGAGCAGTCAGTGCTCTTAACCGCTGAGCCATCTCTCCAGCCCCCAGGATGTGAGTTCTTAGCTACTGTTCCAGAGCTATGTCTGCTGCTATGCTTCCTGCCATGATGGCCATGGACTCTAATCCTTTGAAACCACAAGCTCCAAATTAAATGCTTTCTTTTATAAGTTGCCCTAGCCATGTTGTTTTATCATGGCAATAGGAAGTAACTAAGGCATGCGCGCGTGTGTACACAAACACACACACACATATTCCAGGTCGTTCTTAGATAAATAATGAGTTTGAAGAAAGCCTAGGTTACATAACTGTCCTCCCCAAATGAGTCTTCAGAGTCTTCAGATTCTATTCTTTGTCCTAAGTTCCAACACTTATTGAAGGCCATACCTATGCTGAGAATCAGGAACTAGCACCCATGATGGTGACAATGTTGTGGCAACAATTAGAGTTCCTGGATCAGTGTATGCCCCCATGTGATTTACAGTGCTTTGTGTGTGGACTCAAATCCACTTCCTTGTCCTCCCCTGAGGAAGGAAGCCCGCTCTTCCTTTAAACATTTACTCTACACTTGCTGGCTCTTGTTTCCCGAGTTTGAGACTAAGCTTTCTGCACACCCAGTATTCCTTAAGTGAGCCCTTTGCCGTCAGAGCTGGGTGTGGTTTGCAGGAAGTACTCTTAACTCTGCTTGGAAGGATGAAGGCATGGCAGAACCACCCTTAAGCCATTTTTTCTTCTAAGCTCTTAGTAAGCCTGAGTTCCAGGCACCCCATGACCTGCCCCTACGGGCCTCCTGGACACTGTTGTCTGTTTGGCTTGCTGCCCAGACCTCCCCAGCTCTCTCCTTTCTCTGCCTTCTTCTAGGCTCCTCCAGGTTATGCTCTGAATTCTCGGCTCTGGACCTAGTATCTTAGCATCTCCTGTTTCCCCTAGCTGTATTTCTAGGGGGAAAGTATATCTAGGGATTATTGCTGATAGAAGACAGATCTAGCTAGGTGGTGGTGGCGCACGCCTTTAATCCCAGCACTTGGGAGGCAGAGACAGGCGGATTTCTGAGTTTGAGGCCAGCCTGGTCTACAGAGTGAGTTCCAGAACAGCCAGAACTACACAGAGAAACCCTGTCTCAATAAACCAAAAAAAAAAAAAAAAGACGACAGATCTATGAAAACCTAAATTACCCACTACAGCCCCAGAGCAAAGAGCAAATCCATTTCCTCCCTTTATTTTTCCCAAAATGTGACCTTGAACAAGTTCTCTTACTTCTTAAGATGCTTTTCAGACGCGATAGGCTCTAGTCTGGATCACCCTGCATCACGTTGAATTTATGATGTTTATTTCCGTAATTAGGATCTTTCATCTCAGGACAAATCAAAGGTTCATTAAAATGTCATCCTCCCCAGGCATGGGGGTGTACGCCCGGGCTCCCTTCTAGAAGGTCAGGCAGAGACTCTAAGGGGAAACCACAGAGCCATCCTTTCTGGTTCCTTCCTGACCATACACATAACTGTCCAAGTCGTTGATGGACTGCGAGACTAGGGCATGGGGGTGAGCAGAGGTCAGGGTGAGAGATGAGAGGCAGACGCACAGATTTTTAGGAGCCAGCCCACGGCAGCCCCTCCTGCCCCCCGCCCCCCCCCCCCCCCCCCCCCCGGGGGGCCCACCCCCTGCTATTGCATGGTATGACCAAAGAGGGAAGAAAATCAAGGAGAAAGGGAACGCTTTAGTACGAGTCTGGCTGCCTCTGTGACCAAAGGAAGCGGGCAGAGCTTTCAATTTCCATTCGACAGTTACTTGATGGGAATCCAAACCCTCAAGGACCCAAAGGGAAACTATCATCTGGACAGAAAGAGATGTGGGATTTGGACTCCATCCTCTCCTAGTACAGGGCAAGACCACTCCCAGCCACTTGCTTTTGTCCAAGCCCCTTATCATACAATACACCAATAGACCCTAAATGTCAGAGCTGGGTCTCTCCACTAAAATTCTAAGATTCCGGTTGCTTATCTGTAGAAGATGCCCACTTGAAACTGTCCATGCCTCTTGGCAGCAGGAGGTCCAGAGAGAGGTCCCGTTGCTCAAGCTCTGAGTGCACAGGCCGGTAACCCAGCAGCTGCAGTGCACCTGCGCACAGCTCCTGGACCCGGCGAATCTTGGCAAAGGGCAGCGTGTGGCGCCAGGCCTGGGACACACTGAGCGCATCCCTGGATGTGGTCTTGAAGGCCTCACGGCGTGCGCCTGGCCCTGAGCCATGGGTGATGTTATGGATCCAAGTCTGGAGCTGCGGTGTGAGACCCAGGCCAGTGAAAGCATACAGTTCACGGATTACGGTGAGTGGGTCCCGGGCTAGATCTTCGTAGCGCACCAGGCGGTAGCGATCTTGCAAGAAGGGCGGCGGCTTTTGCAATGCTACCTCCGCGATGCGCACGTGGCTTCGGCACACCTCGCTGACCACACGCAGCCGGGGGTCCGCCTCCACCCACGTGCCGTTGGTACCCAGGACGATGCCATTGTCCCGTGCCAGTGCCTTGGCTGTCTGCTCTCGGGAGCGCAGCACGGCCCGCGGGTCGCGCACCAGGTGCACGATGCGCAAGTTGAGCGCAGGGTCGCTGAGCAGCGGGTAGAGCACTTGCAGGTTAAAGAAGCGCACCTCCTTGAGCACTACGTGGCTGTAGGAGCTGCAGGCTTCCTGAGCCAGGCTGAAGGGCCGCTTTGCACACAGAGGCTTACACACCTCCTCGCTGCTGATGTTGCCGCGAGCGAAGGCGTCGCAGACCGGAGGTGAGCACAACGCGCGGCTCACCGCCCACTGGAAGAGATCCGAGATGTTGCGGCGCCAGGGCAGGTAGGCATCGAACACGTCCATGTCACATAGGAACACAGAACGGACTAGGTCGCGCACGGCCATGTGGAGTGCGGGGGCACTGCCCTGCGACAACGCATCCCACACGTGCCAAGCTGGCTCCATCAGGTAGAAGACATCGGGGTGTTGGCTGAAGATCTGACCCACGAAAGACGAGCCCGAGCGCCATGAGGACAGCACCAGCACGTGCACATGCTCCCCACGGCCTGCTGGGGACGATGGCACTTGCCGGGAGACAAGGAAGACCAGGATGCCAGTCTGTACTATTAGGAGGGAAAGCACGACAGTGCTGGAGAAGCGGGGTAGTCGCATGCCTCTAGCTAGGGCCTGTAAAAAAAAATTTAAAAAAGGAGGGGCAGGGTTAGGTAGAAACTGTGACCTGAACGCAGGCCTAACTTCTGCCCAGTGTAAGCTGTACTATATGTGTAGCTGTAGAAAGACCCTAAACTTCTGCTCCTCCTGCCTCTGGCTCCTAAGTGCCGGTATTTCAGGTATGTGTTACCACACCTGGTTTAGCAAATACTATTTTTCAAACAAAGTTCTTTCCTTTCGCTTAAGAATCCCTCTTACGGAGTCACTGCTAGGTGATTGGCCATCTCTGATCTGCCGGGTTTTTCAGGGTCCTGCCTCGTTACTTCCTGCTCTGTGATCTTAGGACCAGGTAATCTCACTAAAACTCTATTTACTGATCTGTTAAAGGAGGGTAACGCAACCATCTGGCTTCCAGGATTTGTGGGGGACGACTGAAGGACGCTTAGGGGAAGGAGAGTGTAGGAATTCCCACGGTTGAAGACTGGAACTTTCTACAGTACGGTGTGCTCCTGTGCTGTATGATTTTTTTTTTAATGAACAAGCAGCACGATTTTTGTCATTAAAAATAAACAGGGCTTGGTGAGATGGCGCAGCAGGTAAAGCACTTGCTGCCAAGCCTGATAAGGTTGAATTCCTGAAAAACACACGGTCGAAGGACAGAGCCCATTCCCAAAAATTGTCCTTGTCCTTTGACCTCCACATATATAGATACCCACACCTGCATCCCACCCACCCCTCCACACAAAGAATTGGGGTGAGGGGACCGAGTAGCTTAGTAAGCCCTGCATCTCAGGCACAGCACAAGCCAAAGATGACACTGCACAGCAGGACCCCTCGAACATGGAAAACAAGGGAGGAGGATCAAAGGTTCAAAGGTTCAGTCATCCTCGGCTACAAGTGCTGAGGCAAGTCTACGACCTTACCTGAGACTTTCAGTCAAGAAAAGAAGCAAGCACAACGGGCTGGAGACATAGCTCAACGGTAGAACTCTTACCTGGCATGCTCAGGGCCCCAAGTTCAACACACACACACACACACACACACACACACACACACACACACAGACAGAGAGAGAGAGAGAGAGAGAGAGAGAGAGAGAGAGAGAGAGAGAGA